ATATTGGCAGAATATTTGTGGTGTATGTAATCGATGCTGGTTATTGGTTATACTAATAAGGCTTCATATGACTACCTTTACCGGGGCGCAACTGTTCCCCTCATGGGTCGTCCAAACACAGCGAGTCACTACTTGAACCGTAGCGGGGCTTCATTTGAACACCGGTGTAGCCCGGCCGGCCGACCGGCCTCGAATTCGGGTCGTCGGGGGCTAGAGCTCGCGCCCGCCGCCCCCGGCGCTGAAGGCTCGTCCAGCCGCTCGCGTTGACCCGCCTTCTTGGCCTTGATTTGGTCTGTAGGAGCGGCGGAGACTGCTACGATAGTATACAGTGCAGGAATGCATGCATAATTCGAAGTGGAGACTGTCAATGAGGTGCAATGAATCTTGTCGGACGTGTCCTCTATATCTGCTGGTGCCGAGATGGGGTACGTGTCCTGTGACCCGATTATGTATACGGCACCTACTGCTAAAAATAGTCCTCAAGGATGGACGTGTAGCTATCTGCAATTCTGCAGTCGTATGGTGCTAGTTACCAGGCACGATAGGCGTAAATATCGCGTGTATAATGGTGTGAAGTCCAATTTGATCCAACGTGCAAATTGATATCCGAGAATGCCACGCCCTGAAGTTCTGTTGAGTCAATTATGGCATGGTGATATGTCTTCAAATTAAGAGTTATGAAAGATCGACTTTACCCTCGGAAGTTTACATATAGAGGGGGGAAGGGGGATTAAACACATCAGGTGCTTTGTTGACATTGTGCAGCCTAAGGGTTTGCTCTCGATTTGGTTTGTGAATCAAGCATCATTAACAGTGCAGCGATTACGGTAGTACTTAGGCCTAGGTATAGCATTAGATATTGAAGTCACCAATTGACGATTCGTTCCCCTGTGAATCGTATGCTGCTCACTTTTCTTCATTCTAGCAATAAGACGCTAACGAACCGTGTCCCGCTGGCCTACTGTCCTGCAGTCTGAGCCGATCCGTCACCGTGCAGCGGCCATTCCCATGACATTTCCCCGTGACCGAGTCACTGCGACGGGGCCGTGACTGAGAGGGACTGAGGCGTGACTGTCCGTGACTGTGACTGAGTGGTGCGCGGTCGGCCGTGTTGCTTCTGATGCTGCTGAGGCGAGTGGGTGGACGGTGGACGATGGAACGGTGGACGATGGACAGTGGACTGTGAACTGCGTACGACGCAGCGCAATAGATCATAGGACACCAGCTGCTACGGATACTGTTGGACGAGCGACCAACAGGTGCGCCGCATTGGAATGCGTCACAGGCTTTTGCTGCACAGTGCCGCTACGAAGGTCCCTGCCACAGAACAACTCGCATCTGGGTCAACACGAGCTATTGACGTGGTATGTTGCGAAACCGACTAAATTACACACTATCAACAAGCCTGAGGTAATATGGTTGTGGGTAGATAGGCCTCGTTATGTTACTTCACGTAGTGTGTTGTATTGAAATTTTGTATAGTTATAGGGAACTTTGACAATATTTTTGCACGCTTCGAAGTTCTCTAATGGATCCTGAAATAATATCCCCGATATCCCCTATGTAAAGATTCGGGAGGTTTTGTTTCGATTCAGCTGTTTATTCCGATATCATCTAAATTTGGTCGTTTTGTGTCATTCTATTACTTTATTATTTTTAGCCAGGCCAGATTTATGCAATAATCACTAACCTAGGTTTAGAGAAAGATAAGCATGCCTAACCACATCAGAACCAGTTTTGATATTGCAGCAAGACTTGATAATGCTGCTGAAATGATCCTGCTGAGATTTAGCGGCTTCAACCTTGCGATGTTGCTACTTATGCTCCATTTTATCTACCATAATTACAGAAGCTTCGTGTTGAATAATCTAAAGAGGCTAGGTCATGTTCGCGTAATCGTAGCAATAATCTGCGTAATTGGTACGGCCAGCCGTTCGTGGAATCACGGAACATCCCTGCTTTCACTAAGTTCTGACGCTGTTGTTGTGGGGTACTCTCGGATTTACCTGTTCTGGTGCCTACCTGGGGCACGACGGGAAAACCAGGAGCCCCTCTGATGAGGGGCAGACACGCAAAGTTGTGGAGGCGGTGCGTAGCGCGGAGCCGCCAGGCTGGAGCTTGTCACAGTCTTTGGCTGGTATGGGATGATCAAATTTACCGTCATTTGATCTCAGGGGGAGAAGATTCAAAAGGATCTTGAATATCGCGGATAATGCTCAAAATGCTGGCCTCTGTCGAGAGTATCTACTAGAGCATCTCAGAGCATCTTTAGAGCATCTCCGTACCAGCTGGATAAGTGGATGTCCCATCCCACTAATGGTTCCCTCCTAGACCTAACACGGGCCACGCCACGAGCCGCCCGCCTTCCCGGCTCATGTCTTTCGCTTTCTACTTTCGCGTCGATACGCTGGCGCCGTCGGCTGTACCGATCTGCTCCTCAGCTCCCGTGTCAATGGCCCCGTATCGGTCACACGTGCACTGCTCCACTTCCTGGGAACCTTCGTTTTTGGGCTGGCTTTCTGCGTGATGCACTCGTTTAATTGCCTTCGTTCAAGGTTATGACACAATTCCTATAGCATAGAGCATGATATTTTGTTTCGTGTTTTTTCACTGAGCATATTTGCACCCAGTTCATACCTATTTTGCTTCATTCCTTCTCTGCAGGCTCGTTTATAAATCATGACGTCTTTTAGGCTTCCTCATACGTCTACTGTCCTCGCCTATCACCTGTCCCTGCTGAAATTCCTACCCTGCGATAACCATCCTTTATCCCTTTCACCGCTTAGTTTACCCTGCTTAGTTTCCCAGTCTTCCCAACGAAGATTGTGAACTTCACAAATCAAGACGTTGGACGCAAGAGCCTCGCCGCTAAGCGCCCTAAACCACCCCACAACAACAACATAGGCTTCCTCAGTCACCGACCCAATAAATCTTCAGCTGAGTTCGCTTTGATTCGAACTTTATGCGTGTGTCTTTACGCCTGAGTAGATTTACTGTATCTGTTTGCGTCCATGTGTATATGTCTGGCTGCGTGTCTCTCGTATCTGTCTACATGCCTATGGGTGAGTCTGTCTGCGTGTTTGTCTATCGGTTTGCGTGCCTGTGTGTTTGTCTGTCTGCGTGTCCGTCTGGAGAGAGTCGGTCGCGGCCTCTGGGACCGGTTCTAGCGGTAGTACCAATTCGCCTGGGGCACGGTCCTTCTCCGGACTGTCCTTCCTTTCCCGCCGCCCTGGACGGCCTAGCTCAGGGAGAGTGGTGGTGGATGTGGGCTCTTGGGTTCGTTCGTGCTGGAGTCTTGTGATCATGTCTTGTTTTTTTTTTTCGACTCCGTTATTTGGTTCGTTCCCTTTTCAATCAGTTCTCTGCTTTGTCTTTCATATTATCTTTTGCTTATTCACAACCATATTTATTGGGGTTATCATTATGATCAAACGTCGCCGGCTGCACTAAAAAAAACTTAAGTCTGGATTTCATTTGCCTTCGACCGTAAACTATACACACATGTCCTAGCTCATCATCGGTAGTAGGGCGTAAACTGCTCACGGTACGGCTCGTATGCGAGTGTGGGTCACTCGTGTCTGGTCTAGAGTATGCAAGGGATTTCAATTATCGCACACCCTCGCGTATGCGATGGTCTAGTCTGATCTGGTTTGGTCTGGTCCAGTCTAGCCAATTTCCGATCCTTAGGCGTCTGTTCTGGTCTGTTCCCTTCATCCGTCTCTGGAAAGTTTCCACTGATACGGTGTGTATTTGTGCGATGTGCGAGCGGACCTCGCCAGGCCTGTGGGCCAGTAGACCGCCATGTGGAACAGCCGCTGTGCACGCGTGCACGCTCCGCCGTTTCCAAGCGCGGGAGCCGAGACAGGCGAGACAGATTGTGTTTATTTTTAGTCACTCTGTCAGTTACTCTTACATAATGGCATCCTTCTGTAATTTAAATCGCAGTAGTCCCTTTGCTTGTGAAACACTTTTCAGTCGCCCCTTAGTTCTGCACAGAACTGGATATGGGCGAATTGAGGAGGATTTTGCGGACGTCATAAACTATCCTCGCTATACCTATACTTTGCGATCTTCTTGCGATCATGTTATCCACCAAACACTTTTTGAACACAGCTCTCCTATTTATATTTACAATTACACAGACGACTGCCTGAAGCCAACGGGAAATCATGTAAGCTCAAAGGCCCATGACTTCATCTCCAACGACGCACTTACTTCAGGTCAGCACAGTCCTCATTTGAATATCCTCGTGATAAGACTCGGGGCCACTGACCCTCCTCAGCAGCAGACTTACAAGTTACACTAGCGTACCTTCACTCTTCATGTAGGCCCGGATGCTCCCGTCCTGCGCCGGGGGCCGGTCTCTGCGACCTTGAACGGTCGTGCAGACGGATAGGTATTCGAAGACCTCCAGCCGACTAGCTGGCTGAAATGTATTCAGCTGGGCGGCCCATTTGGTGCCGTGGCGAGCTGGTTTCTGAGCGCGATGTCGCTACGCGGCCACGACGCCACTGGAGGGGTATTTTGTTCAGCGGGGTACAGACCTGAGCCTACCTGGTCGAAATTTTACTTTCCTTTAAAAAAGACTGAATAGTATTCAGTCTTTTTTTTTGCAGTATCATGTAAGTTGAGCATGAAAGAAGATGTTTTTAGGTTATGGTGGGCTGGAATGTGACCCGAAAAGAAGTTACTTTACCCTAAAAAAATCGTCAGTGCCACATTTTTCGTACTTTTTGTCTCGTCTAAAAAAAAAAATCCGTTCAATTGGAAATAACGTAAGCGAATTAATTGTTAATTTGTGTCACATGCCCAGCTACTTGGCAATATAACCGTAGGTATCCTCCCAGGCTCCAGCTACTTGGACTGCCGAGTCCTGTAGACTGCACGCCGTCCAGCTGCCTTGCAACTGCAGCCGTGCGCCGCACTATCTTCCTGCGGCGTGCATACCTGCCTGTATGTATGCACCGGCGACCTCCGCCGCCCGTGCACGCTCAAGGTCACGTTACTGCGCCTGCGTGCTGTGCACGGCCGTTTCCACCGCGCGTCCATGCCCCGGGGGCACCCATTTGGTTGGAGCTCTGCCGAGCGATTGGACGGCGGCGGAGGTCTGCCCGGGGGGTGTGGCCTGGAGGTTGGGAGCTGAGTGACGAGCAGACTGAGGGCTGGCGAACAGACTGTGCGTGTGCAGATGTCCAGTTCCGGGTGGTCGAGTTATTCGAACTGACCTAGCATTTGTGAGTGAGGTTTGCACTTCGGTGTCCGAGTCAAGGCCATATATAGTCCGAGTAGTAGTGTTTTCTTGCAGTGCGTGATGAGCATGTGCATGGTGGTTTTGGCGAGTGTTGGTTTTTGTGTGGTTTAGGCTGTGGTGACCGTGGCTGGTGTCTGTGGTCTTGGGTTTTATATTGAAAAATGAAACGGTTTACGGTACGCTGGTGTTTTGCGTTACTTCTGTTTTTCCGTCATCATTGGGATGACTTTTGCGTCTCGGAAATTGTCAAGAATGTCTGCAATTTCGGCTAGCTTCGAAACTCCCAGCGTGTTAGATCCAGTTCAGTGATCGTTGCTTTACCTATTTCTTTTTGCGTTGCATTGTGGAAAGCCGAACTGATAGCTGTCGAACTGGCGCGATGGTTTGGTTTATTTTGCTGCTCACTTTTTGTCGAACCATCACAAGCATCACAGTAATTCAAATATCGTGTCCATCTCCTGCTCAATGTTTTCTTACATGTGCATCTGTAAACGGTTAAATGCGAGACTAGTCGCATGGCCTATATCGTTGTCTTTTTTGTTCTCTTAGCTACATCCGCTGCTTTGATGGCATTATCGGCGGTATTTACAAAAGGTTCTTAGCCGTCGGCACGCATTGATATCATCGAGCCTGCTTTAAAGGGACCCTCCCACCTTCAAAAAAGTTAATGAATTGGCACGAAAGTGATGTCGCTCGGTTCAGAAAGAGCGAAAACGAATATCTACCAAATTTCATCGAAAAATATTCACCGGTTTTCAAGATATTAGATTTGTACTTTTGTTTACTTTTTGGGATCTCCGCTGTTTCTAGCGACTTTATTTGAAAGTGCGGCATTTGTTGCGCGCAAAGCAGCATATACCACCGCGTGCTACCAAACGTTTTAGTAAAAGATTTAAAAATCGTTAGATCTCCGCTGACGTCACAAATTCTAAGGGGCATACCAATGCACTAGCCCCTTAGAATCCGAAAACTGCAAGTTTGAAATTCCATATCTCCGAATTAAAGCATTTGTCGATGTTGTGAGTGCCCAAACCGGTATTTGCAGGCCATGGCCACCAATTTGGCTATCTCAACTCAAAACTAATGTTAAGGTGGGAGTGTCCCTTTAACTCGAGTTCCAACGTTACAGGCTATTCGATCTCCGCGTTTCGACTTTCTTATTTACTTCAGGTTTTCGCAACTCTGTCTTCTTTACTTCAGGTTTTCGTAACTCATATCAAAGCGTGTTGGGTCAATCAGAGATAATAAAGGGCTTCGGCTCAGACCACTATGCGACCTTTGAAAGACGAGATTGATTTGGCGGCATACTTTATCGTGCTCCTCTAAACGGCGGATAAACCCCGTCTGTTCTGCATCCTTATTCCTACGCATTTTCCTTCTGTGTGTTGCTCAATGCGCCAATCTCGGCTCGTTTCAGCCGGGAAGTTTTGGGGAATAACCATCACCTTTACCGACGCTCCCGTCATCCAAATCAGACGTCTCAACGACTCCAAACCGGATTCTCCCCGACCTCTCCCCGACCTTTCTCTCGCACTCTGCCTCTATAACTCTGACGACCTGTCTGTGTTGTTTTCAGGTGCTGCGCACTCGCGACCCTCGGTGACCTCTGGGGCAGTTAGCAATGTCTTCACTCGTGACGGCGCCGCCGCATCAGACGAATGGTAGTCTGTATGCAGGAAATAAGATCGCCATTAGTGTGCCCTACGAGAAGACTGATGTGACTGACCGGGCGCCTCCGCCACCTCGTCCCGAACATGCTTTCGAGACTCCCGTGAGTACTTCTTGGGGACTGAGTGCGTCGTGGCAGCATCGGTATTTGGAACATTCTTGATGGCCAGGGTAATCTGGTCTATGGGACGGTTTGAATTGGGCTTGGCTCGTCGTGCTGTCGTCTTGGTGATGATTTGGTTAGGAGAATGTTTTGGACCTCTCTTGTTTTTTAAAAGTTCGGTGACTTATTGGCGTCGGACTGCTGAGTCATCGGGTGGGCTCGGTTCAAGCTGCTTCGGCGCTCACTTATAGTTCCTGACGAGATTGCTAGACGGTCCGTGACATCTTCGTTACGGAATACGTCTGCTAGACTATTTCTAGTGGGCTTGGTTGTGTCGCATTTAATACGTTTATACGTTTAGCTCCAAATTTGTCTCATAACTGTACCAATTTCATGATCAAGTGCCCGTGGTGAGTATGCCTGGATTGTTTGTTACCGTAGGTACTAAGTAAAATTTCAGCAGTCTTTCTGTCTAGCGCTCATGGAATGACGCGACCTCCCACGTCAGCCGCAGTGTTGGTCTCATGTGCTGCGCCACAGGCTGTGCAGTGTGCAGAACAGAGCGCCTGTCGCATTGTGTCCAGTTCCTCACGAATTGGGCCGCCCATTGTGTGGTCACGTAAACGTGCGGAAGCTGGTTAATGTCGCGTGCAAAGTTAAGCTGAATTATGACTAGCTAAGCGTCTTATATAGTGTGCAGTTGGTTTATTTTTAGCGCGCTAGAGCTAGAGATTTGCCAACTTTTTTGCGTAATTATGGTGTCCATAGAAAAGGCGCTATAAAAATGATCGTCTAACATGATCTTGCTGGGTGAGATCCTTTGGGTGTTGAGTTCCATGGTGCGATCTGGGTCTGCAACATGCCGTTGCATAACTTGATAGTGTAAATGTGACCTAAAATGCGGCTGGTTGTATCACATTTCCATCCGGTGAGGGTCTGCATAAAACTTCCTCGTTATCGATACCGCTCTGGGACGTTATAGCTTATAAGCCAACTCTTCCCTTCCCTCGGTACATGAACTGCGCTATACATTGAAGTAGTCTCCTTCGCTGCCTATACTATCTCCTCTTCATCTCGCCGTGTTTCAGAGTTCGAGCGGCACCGGCTCCACCGGCTCCAGCCCCGACGGAACACCAACCAGTGGACACACCAAGTCCACGGCCTCGCCGGCTGAGCTGGTGACCAGGCTGGGCGAACAGCTCAAACAGGTGGTGCCCGCGCGCCGCGAGTCGCCCGAGAAACAGCCGGCGCCCGCGCCCGCGAAGGCACCGGCGCCCCCGGCTGCTGCGGCGCCCGCCAGTCGCTATAACGATGGTAAGTCTGGTGGACTAGTTATATAACTAATTAGGTCCCAGTAATTTATAGTACGGTATGTCTTGAGTACCTATGTCAGTTTATTTGAATTGGCAACTGTGACTAGGTTCTCGAGATATTTTAAATGGCAGTGGAATGTGACGTCAGCATTAGATAAAAAACTTGGCAGATGTATTCGAGCTGAGCCGTTCGATTGATCCCAAAGCCCCACCAGAGCACGGGTGTGCCCCTGGTAATCGTCCTGGATACCATCACTTGCATTGACAGGTTGCCAGGCGAAGTTCATTTGGTTCTTGCCTGCGCAGTGCGCCGACTATACTCGGATTTCACCATCAAATATCGCACAGCTGGGCTCGCTTGTTTATTCTGCGTTTATACTACGTACCCATGGCCAGACTCCGCCAATGGCCGGGTTTTAGGAGGTGTGGCTCTTGGGAGGACGGTGAGGGGGTAGCCAACCATGACCTGTTGGGACACCAGTCACGTGTCTATCTGGACTCCAGATCCTCCTTTGACATTCGAACGCCGTCCTTGAAGCCCGTGCTACGCGGTATAGTCCCTGTTATGCCGCGGTGGCTTTGTGTTGGCTTTTCGGGGCCAGCTGTCTGAATGAAAACCGGTGAGTGGAAATTAACCGGTTTTGACGCCCTTGTGTCGCCTGTCGGCCTTGAGAACACTGGGGCGATATAATGATATGATCAGTGTTTGAGGCTAGTTTGGACGCCTGGGCTAAATAATTTTTGGAAACAGGCTAGTTATTGAGTGCGTTAGTCGATCTCGTGTCGACACAACCTACCGCCTACTTTATTTTGTACTGCCATCACTAAAATATTGTAGGATTCAAGTAAAATACGATTATCAAGTCTGCGAGGGGCTCAGTCTCGCAGCCTAGCGAGCTCCTTCCGTCTACAATGCGTGCAGAAACCCCCCAGTCTGAGCCGGTTTCTGTTGTTGTCCCCGACTGAAGCCAACCGCACGTCTTTCACGGGATCTACCGCACCGCATGCATAATAGAATTACGGAAAGCGAGTAGAGAAAGAACATTTACCCCGTGATACGACGATACGTTGACTCAAGATGTGTCACGATAGGTGACACGGGATATGGTAACCCAAGACATGGCAATCCCTGATGAGGAATTCGTACCGTAATAGCCCAATGACTCACGTGGTAGTGAACAGACTTTTCCTTCACAGCACCTGAACAAGTGGCTGCACTGTGATGACGTCACTCCTTTTTTCTCAGAACCTGACCAGGTGGCGCTCTCTATGACGACGTCACTCCTTTTTTGACGGCACCTGACTAATTGGTCGCTCTATGATGACATCACTCCTCTTTTTTACAGGCCCTGACCAGGTGGTGCCCACTGAGGACCTCAACACTACCGACCGGTTCGGCGCCGTCAAACTGAAGATTGGCAACAAGGGGCCCAGCGCTGAGCGGCCCATCTCAGTTCACAGTCTTCTGCGCCGCTCCGCCAGCAAGTACGTATGTCCACTCTGTAAATGGATGTGGCGCAATGCACATACCAGCTTGTGGTGGTTGAGGTCATGAGGAAAAGCTTATCTTTCGCTGCTGATTGCGGAACCTTGTAAAGGGACGTCATAAAATTAGTGCGTACCGCATGGCGAGAGCCCCTCGAATAATGTAGGTACCGACTCTTTTTATATTTTGTTTACGTATTTTTATTTTATGAACTTCTTGTCTCTTTCCGCAGGAGAATTGCGGTCCCCCATCATAGGCGCGGGAGCCGGGGGGGGGGGCAGTGGGGGCAGCTTGCCCCCCCCCCCCAACTCTGGGGCCGTGGGGGCGGTGCCCCCACAGCTTTGAGACGGAATACCACACTTTTTTGCAAATGTTTTCTTTTTTTGTTGAAAAAGCCGAGGGATGAAAAATAAGTGGCCTAAAACCGGTGAGAAAACTAGATTTGGGGGTACCCTAGGTTAATCTCTATTATGGTGTGCCCCCCCCCCCCCCAGTCGGAAAGTAGTTCCCGCGCCCCTGTCCCCCATGTGCACGAATCCCGCAGAATTAGTGATCAACCAAAATCCAATGCGCTTGCCTAACGTGAACTTCACAGCAACCTCTGTTCCCAGATATGGCCACGTGGCGGCGCTGCGCACCAAACGGGACGGCGTCTGGCAGACCATCACCTACAAGGCCTATCTGGAGCAGGTCGAGTGCGTGGCCCGCGCATTCATCAAGCTGGGCCTGGAGCCGAAGAGCTCTGTGTGCATCCTGGGCTTTAACAGCCCCGAGTGGTTCCTCTCGGCGCTGGGAGCTGCTTATGCTGGAGGAGTCGCCGCAGGTGAGGACCCGGGGAAGGGTGGGGAGGATGTGGGATGCGAACCTGGGGAGGAGCTAGGGTTGGGGTGGTTATTGGTGGTGAGGTGAAGGAGATATGACATACGAGAAACTCAGTCAATTATCCTGGTGTAGGTCTGCTCGATATCAAAGAAAACGTCTAACTCACTGTTGCTTGATGCGCACGATATCTGATGGCATCTGTAAAATCCCGTGCTTTTAATCCCAATCATGTTGAAGCATCATTCATTCATTCATTCATTCTCCCTTGGCAACCTCGACCACCGGGTCGTATTTGTCACGTGGCTATCCCAGATCACCGACCGATACACTAACCCCTCCCCTCCCCTCAGGCGTGTACACAACCAACAACGTGGAGGCGTGCTTCCACTGCGCCGCCGACTCCAACTGCAACATCTTCGTGGTGGAAGACGAGAAGCAGCTGGCCAAGGTGCAGCAGTTCCGGGACAAGGTGCCCTCGCTGAAGGCCGTGGTGCAGTACTCTGGCACTCCCAGCTCCCCGGGAGTCATCGGCTGGTCCCAGCTGATGGAGATGGGCGCCAAGGAGGGAGGCGAGGAGCTCGAGAGGAGGGTTCGACAGGTGAGAAAGGGCACTGAGATGGTGGAGGAGAGACGGAGAAGTAGTGAGGCAGTCGGGCCTGAGCTATGCTCGTGTTGTTTAGTGAACTTTTTGTGTATCAAGAGAACGATTGAAATTAAAATTGAATAGATAGCGCCAAATTTGGTATTAGTTGTTTCTGCTTCTAAATAGTGCGTGGTTCCTCTAAGATTTGTGTTGGCGTCGCCAATTCTGTGCGCGCTATCGCTGAAAATGGAGAATATTGCCGCTGTGCCGAAACTGAATGCTAATATATTGCCAACTGCCTGACCGGCGCCGAGATATTATGCTACTCTTGCACATAATATTGTGGTAGGTATGTGTATAAACCATTCGTTAGTTCTAAAATGTAGCCCTTCTCCTATACCTCATTCATCTCCTCCCATCTATTTTCCTCAGGTGGCTGTGAACCAAGTGGCCTTCCTCATCTACACCTCTGGCACCACGGGGCCGCCCAAAGGCGTAATGCTGAGCCACGACAACGTCACCTTCATGGCCACCAACTGCGTCCGCTACTTCGGTTTTCGGCCGGCGGAGGAACAGGTGGTCTCCTACCTCCCACTCAGCCACGTGGCGGCCATGATCGCCGATATCTTCCTCCCGATGGCCTGCGCAGGAACGACGTCGTTCGCTGATAAGAATGCGCTGAAGGTGGGTAATGATGGGGAGTGTGAAAGCTTGGAGATTAGGAGAGCTGGAAAGGGAGGGCGATGATAATTGAAAGGATGATGGCAATGTATGAGATGAGAAGAGAGAACGTAACTGGAATTTTGACGTGTTTTGACGCTAGCAGCCAACGCATAATGCCTACTTGTTTTACAGCTGTCGTCATTTCTTACAGACACTTTTATCGACTCTCCTTACGGCCCATTTCGCATTTTTATATAATTAACTAATGCTATATTCGATACTCATGCGTGCTTCAGTTCCACCACTGACTGTTGTTTGCTCTCTCTCTGCAGGGCACTCTGGGTCAGACGCTCGCCGAGGTGCGGCCCACCTGCTTCATTGGCGTACCGCGCGTCTTTGAGAAGATCAAGGAGGGCTTTGAGACGAATGTGGGCCAGACGAAGGGCCTGCGCCGCTCGCTGCTGGAGTGGGCGCTAGAGAGAGGACTGATCTCGCAGACCAACCGGATCGCAGGGTGAGTGACGAGTGGCCTATGGTCGACCTGAGGGGTCGTGGGTGAGGAGCTGACGGATGTTCGCCTGCTATAGGCCTGTTGACTGCCAAGGAGTGCATAGTTGCGATATTTTGAAGGACGAATGATAAAATTAGTGGTTGAGCTGTGGTAACAGAACTTCGTGAATCTATCGATTCTCTTCGCCGATTTATCGACTAAATGTAGAAAGTGTGGACCGTCCATTGTCATTTTTTGTACATTCACTTCACAAAATATGTACTTTATACGCCTATGCTTGAATACTGAAGCCGTATAACCAGCCATGCCGCTCTCTGTACACCTCTCCTTACCGCATCTTCTCCCGTTCGTCACAGCTCCCAGAGCAAGCCGTTCGGTTACGGCCTGGCCCGCCGGCTGGTGCTGTGTAAAATCCACCGTGTGCTGGGGCTGGACCGGGTGCGACTGCTCTACTCTGGCGCGGCACCCCTCGCCAAGGATACGCTCACCTTCTTCCACTCACTGGACCTGCCGCTGCTGCAGGTAACTTTAATAAAATGCTAAGACTTGGAATTGAAAGACCGGGAGAGGGTTCACCAAGCAAGCGATCTAAGGTCAGTGGTGACTGGGATAGAGTTGATTAGCCTATCGCATTCGTTCCTCTGCTAATGTCACGATGTAAGGTGTTGTCGCTCGCATATCTGCCTTTTTATGGAGAACTGTCACAAAACTGATGCACCTTCAGTGATAGATAGTGAAATCCGCGCAAGATTCTTTCGTTCGTCCTGTGATTTGATACGACTTGGATTGCGATAAACATGTAGGTACGCAACCTTTCTAACTTGTTCAAAGGGTGGAAGCCACCAATCGTGAATCCATCGTTGACTTGACCCTGGCCCTCACTACACCGCTGACTTTACCCCGCCCGCTACCGCCCACAGCTGTACGGCATGAGCGAGTCCTCCGGACCCCACACGGCCTGTCTGCGCCACGTGGACAAGACCGGCTCCGTGGGTCCCACTCTGGAAGGATTCGCCACCCGACTGGACAAACCCGACTCTGAGGGCCAGGGAGAGATCTGTATGGGAGGAAGGAACGTGTTCATGGGCTATCTGAACCTGCCGGATAAGACGGAGGAGGCGGTGGACGCTGACGGCTGGCTCCACTCCGGAGACCTGGGAACGGTGGATAACAGGGGAATCATCACCATCACCGGACGCAGCAAGGTGGGTACTGGGACGGCAGGGGTGATTTGGTTATTTTAGAATGTGTGGGTTCCTTAACCCTATTCCTGGCGGGCTCCGCCGGGACAAGAAACTGGCGGGGGGGGCCGATTCGGCCCCCCCCCCCTGAGATCTCGAGAACGAAGCAAGATAGCGACAAGCGGTAAACGGCATCGGATACGCATGGACAAGGTCTACAATTTTTACAAAGGTCATTTTCAGGTCAGGTCAAAGATGACGTCACAGGGGTCGAAAAAGTCAAAATGGCGGCGCTAGATATGGATAGTTTTTCTCGAATAACTTTCGAATTAGTCAAGATAGGAACAAACTAAGGGCATCATCGTGATCCTCTCGTCAATCCGCATCGAATGATATATATGTTGACCTCGAAAGGTCAAGGTCAAAGGTTGACCTCAGGTCACGTGACCTCGAGGTCATCATGTATATCATTCGATGCGTCTTGACGAGCTGAACACAATGAGACCATCCACGCGTCTGTATCTTGTTCCTGTACGGAGTTATTGGCCAAAAACCTTTGGTGACCTTTGATGACGTCACATGACCTCACAGCTGCCCAACAGCAAAACAGACCTCAAGGTAGTGAAGGTTGATCGTATATGAAGTCATGTATGGTATATGGGGCCATTCCGACCCGTTTTAGTGGTAAAAACAGGGAGTTGATTTTTCCCCCATTGACTTATAATGGGGAGGTCGCGAAATTGACCTGACCTTAGGTCACCGATATCAAAATTCCGAGATATACAAATTGCACATACTGGTACCCTAACTAAAGCCTGAAGAGAAGAAATTGATCGGTCAAAAACTCTAGCTCTGGCGTGATTGCAAACTTTTCTGAGGTAGGGTCACCAAACCGCCTCTGGTGACATGACCTGAGGTCAGATCAACTCAAAATTTTCAGACATGTTGCGTAGAAGCCTTATAGGAAAAGTCAGAAAATTTGAGCTTCCTAGCTCAACGCGTTTGGGAGAAATAACCAAAAAACCTCAGGGGGGGGGCTCCTGAGGCCCCCCCCCCCCCCGCCAGGAATAGGGTTAAGGCGTATACGGACTATGCCGTTTAAGCATTCTGGGGCTGCAGTTACGTTATTGACCTACGCAACCTATATGTACATATATGTATATATGTACGTTATCCATGCATCTTTATCGAACACCCTCTTTTTTCAGAAAATGTTTTCGTTTCCGCCTAGCGGTATATTTGCCTTTGTCTTCTTATTGCGCCCGGAGTCTGAACTTAAAACGGATGCTCTAATTTATCTTAGAAAGATATATATATATATATATATATATATATATATATATATATATATATATATATATATATATATATATATATATATATATATATATATATATATATATATATATATATATATATATATATATATATATATATATATATATATATATATATATATATATATATATATATATATATATATGCTCTAAAGATCCATTACATGATGGTTTGGCTCGACTTTCGCGTTTCTGACTGTGATCCCTCCTCCCGCTCCCAGGAGCTGATTATCACGGCCGGCGGCGAGAACATTCCTCCGGTCCTCATCGAGGACGAGGTGATGAAGGAGGTGCCTATCCTCAGCAACTGCTGCCTCATCGGAGACAAGAGGAAGTTCCTCAGCATGCTGATGACGCTCAAGGTAGGGAAGAGAGGTCGAGAGAAAGGCTGATGATGCGGGACAGAAACCGTCTCATCGATGTATTTTAGGACTCGACAAATCGTCGGCTCACGAAAGAGATCCCGAATTGCTGTTTGATTCCCATTCCGCATAAACTTAATCGATAGTTTGCTTGCAACTCACCTATCTCACCATAACCAGATCCATATTAGATATTAAACCGTCTCTGTCCGTTTTCTTTAGCCGTCCCCTCTAATTGTACCTCTAATTGTACCGCGTTCTCTCTGGCCGTCTATGCCCATAGGCGCGGGAACTACTTTCAGACTGGGGGGGGGCACACCATAATGGAGATGAACCTAGGGTACCCCCAAATCTAGTTTTCTCACCGGTTTTAGGCCACTTATTTTTTCATCCCTTGGCTTTTTCAACAAAAAAGAAAAACATTTGCAAAAAAGTGCAGTATTTCGTCTCAAAGTTGTGGGGGCAACGCCCCCACGGCCCTAGAGTTGGGGGGCAAGCTGCCCCCACTGCCCCCCCCCCCGGCTCCCGCGCCTATGTCTATGCCTGTGATGACATTAACATCTCTGGCGTTCTTGTCTGGCCGTTTCTTCTGTTTGTCTCTGGTTATCTCTGATCTATGATTGTTTCAAACCGTATCTGACCGTATCTGACCTTTGTCTGACCCCGTTCACAGGTGGTGGTGGACCTCGACACGATGGAGCCCACCAATCAGCTGAGTCCGCCGGCACTGGAGTTCTGCCGCTCTGTTGGATCCACGGCGTGCACCGTTCAGGACGTGCTGGACGGACCCGATGAGAAGGTCAGTGACCTCGGTGGGGTACAGGCGTAGGTCAGTGACTCGAGAAGTCTATAGGTACGGTTTAGATGATTGCTGTGTCGGAGGTTGATCGTTCTGTCACGTTGTAAGGCGAAGCAGTACATTACAGCGGTGTAAAACAATCGATACTATGCTGTACCGCACGATATTATACGGTAGAAAACTGTAAAATACGATCAGATACGGATCTACGACTACGCATTACGATACGATACGAGGGGGCAAGGCTGATGTAAGACATTCACGCTCATCTTAACAGTTTCTAATTGTAGAAGATGTAGAAGAAAAGATGTGGGCAACACTTAGGTAGACTCTATTCAGGTCTAGCGGTCGGTGTCCGGACAAATTGCCGAAAGGCGATTTACCGAATGTCATTTTGCCGAATGCATTTCGCCGAATGTCATTTTGCCGATGTGCTTTTTGCCGACGTGTCAAAAAGTCGAAATGCTAAAAGTCGAAATGCCATTTGCCGACATGCCTTTTTGCCGAAAAGCCAATTTGCCGAAATGCTTATTAGTCGAAATGTAAATTTGCCGAAGTGCGATTTGCCGAAATGTCGATTAGTCGAAATGTCAATTAGTCGAAATGTCAATTAGTCGAAATGTCAATTAGTCGAAATGTCAATTAGTCGAAATGTAAATTTGCCGAACTGTCAATTTGCCGAAATGTCAATTTGCCGAAATGTCAATTTGCCGAAATGTCAATTTGCCGAAATGTCAATTTGCCGAAATATCAATCTGCCGATTTGGCAGTTTACCGAAATGTCAATTAGTTGAAATATAACTTCGCCGAAATGTCAATCTGCAAACCTAGGTTAGGTTAGGTTAGGTTAGGTTAGGTGGTGTTTATTTACTTAGGACCGATCACCAATTTACTTTTGGTGCAATCCCCAAGTAAGAAGCAAATCACATGATAGGTATCCTTTGACCTCCTGATTTCATAACTAATAATTAGGTATTCATGGCACAAGCAAGTTTAAAAGCACCAATACCATGTGGAAATAAACATCAAATTGCTCGTGGCGAAGCAGTGCAGTGCCGAAGGCAATGCCTTAGGAGAGATTACAGGCAAAGGTAAGTCAAATATTTTAGGTTAACCCTCGCCGGCCAAGGGGGGTGCGGGTGCCGCACCCCCATAGGGTTTTTCGCGATAGCTCCGAACACGCTGGCGATAGAGAGCTGAAACGTGGCATAGCTGACCTTTGATTCAAGTCGGATCTTTTTACACCAACCGCATTTTCGGGTCAGGTCAGGTCACCAACCTATGACGTCATAAGTGAACCTCTGCAAGGTCTTCAGATGTCGCAACTTCGCAACGCCCTCACGGCCAGAGGAGCTTTCACAGGGAAATGAAACATGCAGGACCTAATATCCATTACGAGTCTCAAAGCTTGTATATCTCAGATTTTCCTAAAGGTTATTTGAAGTCAGGTCATTTTCGTGACCTCACCATTATAAGTCAAGAAGAAAAATGAAAACTGCTATTCTGGCGCCGGGAACGACCTCTAACTATCTCAAGCACACAGAATCGTGATTTGACGCCTTCCTTGCAAGGTAAGATGCGTAACTTTTGCAATGTTGACCTTGCGTGACGTCATTTATGACGTCATCAAAGTCATATTAGTTTTTCGTCAATAACTCCCGATCAAATTGAGCTAGCGAGTCGGGAAAGCCACCAATGGACTCAGGAAGACCTGCAGAATCGAATGATATGCGACATGACCTCTTTCCACCAACTTCATGATCTGGGGGTGCTGACCTGACCGTGACCTGAGGTCAACACCCTAAGTTGACCTGACCCAAACAAAAATTATATCATTTGACGCGCCTAAGCAAGGCAAACACGATGCTGCCAAAATCGCTGCTGTTTTTGGCGAAGTTATTCGCCAAAAACTGAACCACCTTGGGGCATTTGACCTGACCTCAGAGGTCACCGGTTGACGTAGTACCTTAAAACAGGTATCAATCTCTGCGTCTCATAACGGCGCACACGCTCGTTTTTTCCGCGACGCGCCAGCTCCACCAGGGGCGAAACGACTAATAAGCATTTCGGCAAAAAGGCATGTTGGCAAATGGCATTTCGACTTTTTGACACGTCGGCAAAAAGCACATCGGCAAAATGACATTCGGCGAAATGCATTCGGCAAAATGACATTCGGCAAATCGCCTTTCAGCAATTACCACCTCGGCCGGCGCGTATGTAGAAAACCAATAGGTCCGGTGAGGGTTAAATTGTTGTGTATCTGGCTTCAGGCCTTCGGCCTGAAGCCTGATGCACAACCACTTAACCTAAAAATAATTGACTCATCATTGTCTGCAATCTATTCATGTGAGTATCTTCTTCCTTATCCACGGGTAGGCAAAAATCAGTATGTCAGGTTAGGTAAGGTTTTGTTATGTTTTTCTTATACTTTGGTGACATGTAAGTGTAAAGTGTGTTTTTTTTTTTTACCTTTGAAAAGCGAGTCGGTCCTAAAGTTAATACTTACGGGTCACGTTAGGTTAGGTTAATTTCGGCTAATTGGCATTTCGGCAAATTGACATTTCGACTAATTGACTTTTCGGTAAATTGACATTTCGACTAATTGACACTGCGGCAAATTTACATTTTGACTAATTAGCATTTCGGCAAATTAGCATTTCGGCCAATTGACATTTCGACTAATTGACTTTTCGGCAAATTGACATTTCGGCAAATTAACATTTCGACTAATAAGCATTTCGGCAAATTAGCATTTCGGCGAATTGACATTTCGACTAATTGACTTTTCGGCAAATTGACATTTCGGCAAATTGACATTTTCGACTTATTGCACGTCGGCAAAAAGGCATGTCGGCAAATTGCATTTCGACTTTTAGCACTTCGCCCTTTTGACACGTCGGCAAAAAGACACGTCGGCAAAATGCATTCGACATATTGACATTCGGCGAATAAGCATTCGGCAAAATGCAGTTCGGCAAATTGTCCTGTAACCCTAGCGGTCCACGACGACTCAACGGTACACGAACGCACACAACATTTATACAGGGGCATCACGTCATATCACGTCATCAATCATTCATCCCATTGGCTCCCCGTCACATCATTCTTCCCAGTACTACTGACACAATGCCTCGGGCAACCCCTCCAGTTACACACTGATCAGGTTCACTCTACAGTCACTCCATACGACATGATTCATTCACACTCACATGACCGCTGACTACACCTCCACCTGATTATCAGTAATCATCATCATTATTCATCATCAACATCGATACATTCGCTTGGCACACTCTGTCCATACAGCTCTTCCGGGGCTCTTCTCACACGTGTACTACGCCGCAGTACGGTTTGGCCATTCTGTTCTCGTTGGGCTTCCGTAACCTCACTCTGAGCGTCCTCCCGTGCACCGCTGAACGTCTCACTCGGAACGTCAGCTGCATCTTCACTCGTCTCCACCGGTGTTCCCGTATCGGGCGGCTCGGGAGGCGGGGGGTCAGTGTCCTGTCCCGTCCCCGACACCGAACCATACGGCTTCTCGTGCAGCCGCAGCGTCCTGATCTCTGATAGGCAGTCTTCAGGTTCGGACTCACAGTCACTCATACTGTCTGTGTCGCCAACCTCCTCAAACCGTCGTCGGACGCAGCGCACATGCCACGGGGCACCATCCACCTCCACCAGTGGTGCCGGTAACAGTCGGGTCACCACGCCCCGCCGCGACACGTCCGTGCACCGCGTCGGCTGACCTCGGCGGCGTATCCACACAGCGTCACCGACCCGGAACGCTTTGCGTGCACTCTGGACGCCATCGTCCACTTTGGACACCGCTCGGCCGGGTTCGTCGATGTTCAGCGGGAGGTCGTGGCCAGCGCGCTGGAAGACACCTGCTGCAGGAGCGCTGCTAGGATGCATCCCGTCACGAGGCGTGGCGTTATAGCGGTGCACTGCTTCCCCGATTGTACAGCCTTGTCGGGCTGCCATCACCTTGACTGTCCGATGGTGGCGCTCGACGATGCCGTTGCCGCCCGCCTCGTGCACCGCCCGGAAGCGCAGCCTGACGCCCCACCGCGCGGCGAATGCCGCCATCCGGCGGCTGCGGAACTCCGTGGCGTTGTCCAGCAGAAGCTCTGCAGGCGCGCCTCTTTCCAGGAAGATGTTTTCCAGCTGGTTCGTCACCTCAGCCGCATCTGACCGGCGCAGTAGTCGCCAAATTCCATACCGGGATGGTCCACAATCAATAACAGTCAGATAGGACCGTTCCCGGTAGTGCGTAACGTCGATCGCCAGCCGTTCCCACGTCAGCGGCACACTCAGTGACCCTTGCTGCCAACGTACCGGTGCTGGGTCAATGGACTGACACACATCACACTGTTGGATCACGGCGCGCACTGCCGACCGGGTAGCACGGGCGTCTTCATTCCGCCGCACGTACCAGAGGGTCCGACGGACTCCCTGATGTCCAGTACTTTCGTGCACGGCGCGTATCCGTGCGGGGTCGACATCCGGCCGTGGGTCCGCGATTGCCGCGGCAGCCACCGGCCGTGCGGCAGGCTCTGGGTCCGGTGTTTGGAGCCACTCCTTTGGCACACGAGTCAGTGCATCCGCCAGGTTGTCTGCGGACTTCACCAGGACGACTGTCAGCCTCAGGTTGAACTCCTCCACCAGCTGACGGATGACGTCGATCCTCCGGCGGATGAGCATCTCCCCGTGTGCCTTCGTCCGCAGGCGCGAGCGGCCGGTCAGGGCGTCATCGATCCATTTGTGGACCGTAGCCGAGTCCGTGCAGAGATCGATGATGGTGATGCCCCAGGCGATCGCCATGTTCACGCCGCTGAGCGCCGCGTCCAGTTCAGCCATGTTTATGTGCATCGCTGCCTTCGACTCAGGCCGCAGCCAGCTCGCATCCTCCACGACGCCACCCTCGGGGTCCTCCAGGACGACGCCTGCAGCGATAGAGCTAGCGTCCGTCCAGACCACCAACTTGTCCCCCTTCAGCCGCCATGGGCCTCGAGCCGGGTCACTGTCGTTCAGTCGGGCCACGACATGATCGACCTGCCCGCGCAGCCCCACGTCCTCTGTTGGATCGTCCCATCCTGCTGTTAGAGCATTGACGCGCCGTTTGAGCCACGCGGCCGCTGGTCGCAGCCATCCCACCACTGGCAGATGGGACACCAGCTGACCACACCAAGCAAACACAGCCCGACGCGTCAGCACTTCCGGGGGCGCCGGCACTGGGTTGTCACGACGCCAGCATAGCTCTCCAGCGACCGCACTCACCCGCAGTCCGAGCAGCCGTGCTCCCTCCGCCGCCCGCTCCGGCGGCTTGCAGTCCAGGCCGTACCGGGCGAAGTGCTCCACCACGTGGTCCGCGCTGACGATTTCTTCGTCCACCAGGAGATCGTCCACATAAGGCAGCACTCCTCGGGCCACCACTTCATCCTGGAGCAGGACGGCTCGTACCACGGCCTTCATGACAGCCGGTGCGATGCTCAGGCCGAATCCGATGCGAGTCAGGCAGTATCTCTGACCTCGCACCTCCACCGTCTGGTACGGTCGCAGCCGCCGATCCAACCGGAGTTGAAGGTACGCCTTCCGCAAGTCCACCACAGCAATGCGAGCGCCATGCCGCCGCCAACGACGAAGCTGATCGGCGCAAACGTCCGCATCTGCAGTGTGTGCGATTATGTGACCATTCAGCTCACGGTAGTCCAGGACAGGCCTCACCTTGTCCTGATTTGGCTGCGGGACCGCCATCAGAGGGATTAAACCTCGGACTGGGCCATCCACCCGCTCGTCGTACGGCTGCAGCCATCCTTCCCGGATCCACAGCTCCAGCTCGGCGTCATATGCTGGTCGAGCTTCCGGCGGCACGGCATACTGGGCGACCTGGTTCTGCAGATACTCCGGGCCTTCCCCGTCTGCCCACTTCCATGCCACCGTCCACTCTCCAGTTTGTGCCTCGAACCGGGCCGAGAAGTCTGCTGCATCCAGCGCCAGCCCCTGGGGGTCGACCTCAGCCGCCGCCGCCGCACAGATCCGCACGTCTGTCGGCGTCCTCAGGCTGATGCCACCTAGGGCCGTGATGCCCGACATGCCCAGCACCATGTCCACTCCCAATGGACGATCAGGCACAACAAAGGCTGCGAGCGTCACTCGTTTGCCTTGGCACTCCATGGTGACTTTGGCCGTCCCACTACACCGCAACGACCCACCGTTCACAGTCCTCATCATCACCGTCCGCGGTGTCCACTGCTCACAACAATCCTTGTGCACGAGCGTGTCTGTGCAACCAGTGTCCACCAATACACGCCGCTCACGACCGTCTACCTTGCTCTGGATCACAGGGAGGACGCGATCTATTGCTCCGGGGACAGTGCTCGCGCTGACACGTCCCCCGAGGCGTTTGGGCAGGCCGCGGCGAGATGACCCTCAGTCCCACACGTCCAGCAGCGTCTGGGACGAGGTGGGCGCTTCGGTCGCTGCCGCCGCTGCAGATCATTGTGAACCGCCGCCACAGCTTGCGTCTGGTCATTACCAAGCACCGCCCGCGCGCGGGCGACTGTGCTCTCCAGACTGAGTTGTTCTGACCTGGTTCCTGCTCGGATTGTGTCCGCCACGGACGCCGGCAGACCGTTGACGAAGGCAGCTACCAGCTGTCGGTCCGTCACGCCGCCGAACAGGGCAGCATAGCGGCGCAGACTCGCCAGGAAGACATCAGCGCTCTCCCCCGGCTCTAGCCGACGTGCGACGAATGCTGTGTGAGCCGCGAAGTCGTCCATGGCGAACGCCTTAAACAAGGCGTCTCGTGTCGCCGTTGCTGACCGGCGGTCCACCGCGGACAGCTGTGACCACACGGCGAAAGCACCACCTTTCAGCCGCATGGGCAACACCTCCGCCGCCGACACACCGCGATACTCACAGAGCAGTGGCGCCTGCGTGTGCCATTCGACGACGTCGCCGCTCCCGTCGTACTCGTCGATGAGGCGAGGATCGAGTCCAGCTCCGATCCGGACCTGCTCAGATCCCTGCACCACAGCGCCCGTCTCTGTCGGTGTGTCCATGATGATGCCGAAATGCCGAAATAGCTTGTAGAAGATGTAGAAGAAAAGATGTGGGCAACACTTAGGTAGACTCTATTCAGGTCTAGCGGTCCACGACGACTCAACGGTACACGAACGCACACAACATTTATACAGGGGCATCACGTCATATCACGTCATCAATCATTCATCCCATTGGCTCCCCGTCACATCATTCTTCCCAGTACTACTGACACAATGCCTCGGGCAACCCCTCCAGTTACACACTGATCAGGTTCACTCTACAGTCACTCCATACGACATGATTCATTCACACTCACATGACCGCTGACTACACTAATCTTATGATCGAGTCGATGGTAATTTGCACGCCATCAGTGATGTCCAAGTCTGATTCCTGGCCTTCCGTTTCGATGTGCGGCTCTGACCTCTAGCCTCCCCCTCCCCTCAGGTGATGTCTGCCATCCAGCGTGGTCTGGACCGGGCCAACCAGCGGGCCGCCTCCGGAGCGCAGAGGGTGCAGAAGTGGTCCATCCTGCCGGTCGACTTCTCCATCCCCGGCGGAGAGATCGGTACGTGCGGCAGGTTCGCGGACTAGGTCATGCACGTTCAAGAGTCGCGAGTCATGTCCATGAGCCGGGAGCTTTGGTTTTATGAGACTGGCTTAATCGTAGCGAACGGACGTCGGCAGTGTGTACGAGATTCAGCCGGAGTAATTTAGTGAGATATAAGAAATATTCAGAAATAAAATAGTGTCACATAGAACGCATTGTCGTCGAAATTTACGTTCCATGTTCGTATTTAATGAGCATTTACGTGCTGTTTTTAATTTACCGTCAATCACCAGATAATGCCAAGCCTTGTAGACTTCCATGGCACTGGACAGTGCGCTGATAGAAACGTATGTTTATTTACAGGACCCACGATGAAGATGAAGAGACCAGTCATCCACAAGAAGTACGCTCAGGTGATCGAGCGGTTCTACTCGTAAGGGCTATTGTCGCTTGCGCTGGTCGCAGCGTCAGACCGATACAGCCAGCTATGCGTGTGAAATAGTGGCGGCAGGTCGCAGGCGATTATGGGCGTAGTTGATCACCGGCCTGATGTGACGACAGACGACCCAAAGACGAAGAAGGAGAGAAGAAAGGAGTGGAGGAAAAGGAGGAGATATAGAGAAGTGGCCAGCAATGCAACAGATCTGCTCATCTGTACTGATATTCGGGTGCGAGGGCATGCATGGATGACAGAAAATTAGTTATGTGCAACGAGGATAAGAGCTGAGGAATGAATGCAATGTCAAATATGTTAATAGTTTTGTTGATTGATCTGAATGCTGAATGAAAGGCCTTAGTGAAATGAGAATCGCTGAGCGAATGATATTTTGAGGATTGTACCGTGAAGTGTGTGTTATGTCTTTTTCGTGGTAAGTTCGAAATTCATACGATAAATTATTTTTGATCGAGGTAATGAAATTATAATTTATGTGAAATGCAAGAACGAACGGCTGGCTATGAGCATATTTTTGTACTTATCGATGTATCATTGTCACTGAGGCTTTTGGCGAACTAAGCGGGGGAACGCCGGGGATATTTTTGCAGAGGCTCATTTGTCTGGCTGTAGCGACAGGACGGGTGCAACAAAGCAGGGTATTCTGTGCCCTTCAATCGCCGGTTTCGGCAGGGTCCATGGCTGCATGGCAAATGTCACGCGCGTTTGTTGGTGTAAATGTGCCGGTGTGTGTCTAAAATGTGCACAAAAGTCGTACCTACTAATGATATGGTGTTTGTTGCGCTATGACCCAGTGCTTATGGAAACTACCTACATTCCGCGCAGTTGTGTGACCTAAAGGACAGGCATTGGTAATAAGGTAGTCACCCCCATGCATCATTCGGTGACCGTTTATTACGCTGTCTAACCAGGTAACTCGGCTGTGCCTGGTTTCGTGTGTGCCCGTCTCGGTCAGTGCCCATAGGTGCGGTTGTTATGAATCCGATATTACCCCGACCAAGCGCTCAGTTTAGGTGTCGATCACGGCATTTGGTCATGTCGATCACTGTGCTCGATATACGAAGGACAAATGTCTGCGGCAAGTTCGGCCGATTCCCCCACTTTGTACATTCCCCGGTGTTTATTTATCGTGGATTTGTTGGGAAAGGAACTGAAGGGATGCTGGCCGCGCGTTGGCTTGGGAGCCTGACGCACTAGGCCAGAGACTGTTCTTACCAAGTGTATTGGTAAATACAAATGCAAACGATAATAGTTTGTGTTAAAAATGAAAAATAGAATAACATTGAACTGGTATGGTATATAAGTAGGTACTGGTTTCGACGTAATAACTCGTTAAAAAATGGTTATATGTATGTAATTACGTGGTAAAGCTCGCACTCTGAAAGTTGTGAACTTTTCGTCACTCATCGACAAGGGCCGGCATTACGCCAGCCACAATTGACAGGTGTAACCTGAAAGGGCATGCTGCACACTGGTAGGAATTTAGCCCACTATATTTAGAAAAATGCTGCAGATTTTGCTTTTTTAAGCGTCAGCAATATCGAATGAAACGTAACACTCATGAGGGCGGCCAAGAATGGTCCTTGTGATAGTTCTGCTAAAGAATCCTTCTTCGTGGTGTTTCTTATAGGTATCTTGGTGCATACCTGGGCCATGGATGAAGGTTCTTTCATCCATGCCTGGGCTTAGCTTAGCCTGAGCATTTTCAAAATAAAAGAAAACTTGTATCTGATAAATACACTAATCCGCAGAGGTAATAACTAGTAAGGATGTATCTTCAAAGGAAATGAACCATAGAAAATTATTTCATTACAGTTCAGGAGTGCAGCATTTTAGCGCGACTTTGTTTCTAGAAAAGATCTGCTATTTAGGGATGCATTGGCGCAACCTTGATGCTTACGAAAATACACGTAAACGTAAACAAATGGGTTCTTAACTTCTCACCGAAGACAAAGATTGCTGTTGAAAGGGGCGTATTCTGGGATTTATTTTTCGTTTTACTTGTTTTTTATTTAACAAACTCAAACTCAAGTTATTTTCATTTGTGGCTTTTGGATCTGTACAGGCTGAGGCGCAATGGAGTCGAAATACAATGTCCGGAATCCTTGTAAGTACAGGAGCGTGCTTCGTGAAGACTGCGCATTGATAATCATTTGATTTAGTTAAATAGAATTGTCGGCTAGCAACATAACCTCACGAGCATCACATTGCAGCAGATTATAGTCTGTAGATTTCCTTAGGTGTTTCAAAGCATCTGCTCATTCCAACAGTCCGAGATTAGTCTGTTTTGTGTGTCGTTTTTACCATTCTCTCAACTCATTTCTCGCCCTTTTTCCGACCATCTTAGCTGTGAAGCGACTGATGCGCGAGGCCCAGGAGCTTCACGAGCCCACAGAGGACTACTATGCCCAGCCTCTGGATGACAACCTGTTTGAGTGGCACTTCACTGTGCGGGGGCCTGATGACTCGGCTTTTGAGGGTGGAGTGTACCACGGCCGCATCCTGCTGCCCTCGCAGTACCCCATGAAGCCACCGAGCATCATCATGATGACAGTATGTAGAAGGACTGCTAGAAGCTTGAGCTACCATACCCAGTCTTTTGCTCTCTGTAATCACGAATTGTTCTTCTTTGATTGGACTTGGAATATGAATATTTGTATCTTTATACACATGCTGCCATTTGCTGTTATTGATATTTAGAGAAGTAAATGTTTCTATCCATATATGCCTATGTTTAAGCACATTTGTAGTTAAGTCTCAGCTATTGTAATGTTAAGACTAAGAGTATCAGTACCATTCAGCTGTAAAAAATGTTAGTTTAACCTGTTGCCTTGTCTACCACTTTGTAGACCACCTGACATGCTGCCTGCCCAACTAGCCTGCAATCCTCACTGACCACTGCCTCACCACAGCCCAATGGACGGTTCGAGGTGAACAAGAAGATCTGCCTGTCCATATCCGGTCACCACCCAGAGTCGTGGCGACCCAGCTGGTCAATCCGTACCGCCCTGATGGCCATCATCGGCTTCCTGCCCACCCCGGCCGCCGGCGCCATCGCCAGTCTGGAGTACAACGATGACGAGCGGCGCCGGCTGGCGGCGGGCAGTCGCTCCTGGAGCTGTCCGCAGTGCGGGGAGGCGCGCCTGCTGCTGGCGGCGCCCGGACCAGATAGGAACGGACACGACCAGCGGCAGGCGGAGGCGCGAGAGCTGGCCGGAGAGTTCAGCTTCCAGGTGAGAGAGGGACGGGACTGGAGGCGGCGGGGGGGGGAAACGGGACCGTAACTGGTCTGGGCTGGGATTAAATGGGAGGGAGAGGAACGAACGAACGAACGGACGAAGGGGCTGTTGGATACATATATGCAGAGGCGGATCCAGCTCAGAGTTTTTTTTTGGGGGGGGGGCAAACCATAACAATTTATCGATTCTTTCCATGCCTTGTCCATAGGCGCAATGTTAAAATTATGCCGTTTGAGGGGGGGGGCAAATGCCCATTTTGCCCCCCCCCCCCCTGGATCCGCCACTGCATATATGGCTTGTAGTTGTGTAATACGATCGCGATAAAGCCATTGTGGTGCCCTAATTAGTGCTCTAAATTATCGTTTTTTTTTTGTTTTTTTTTTTAATGGCTGAAATGTCATCGTCTTATTACAGACATGCGTCTTTACATCCCCGAAATGTTCCTTACTTACTATAGCTCGACTTAGCTGACTCTTTGTCTGTCTTTACCACAGGGCGAGAAGGCGAAGGGGGCGTCCGGCGACCCCACCGCCCCTGCCACCTCCTCCTCCCCTGCCGCTGCCACTGGAGACGCCCCTGCCGCCCCCGCCCCTGCCGACGCCAACACCGACCAGCCCGCGGCCCAGCCGGCCGAGCGACTCCCGCAGCCCCCGGAGGTGACACTGGCGGCTGCTGAGGAACCGTCCTGGGCCAGCAGTACGCTGATCGTGGTACTGGTGGCGGCCATCGCCGCTCTCCTCTGCCGTCGTCTGTTCCTCCTGGATGCCGAGCGGCTGGACGGCCTGTCAGAGAGCATGTGAGATAACCTGCTGAACGTCTTGCGACTGGACGGGCTCTTGGGAAACCGACCACTGGATAGACAGGAGATGTTGATTTGGGGCAGATATAGTAAAATATCAGGGGAACGGGTGGGTTGTGAGCCCAGAGGATTATCTTCGTAAACACGCTTCATGGCGTGGGCCGATTGAGGTATTGTAAGTACGGAGCCTTTTCAGCTAGTTCTGTAATAAGATAATTGTGCTGTTTGAGATAGGTAGTATCTCAACAAACGATTTTGGACATATCTGAAGCCAGGTCGAGAGACAACCAATGACGACTGTCTACAAAGAGCTTCACATTTGTAGAAACTGAGAAATGTGCCAGTAGTTATAACAGCTCATCCCAGTATTCGTGTACAATTTCTTCAACCGCTGGCGATTCATGAGGGCGACTCCATCCGGATACTGGAGACGGAGACGCCCCTGGAGCTGGGGGTCCTGGATACTGGATAGCATCATCAGCTTTTCAGCTGTGCCTCGCTAATATGTAAGCGAACGTGTTTTGACTTCGTCAGTACAGCTTTGTGGTGGTGGCACTAGCTCTACTGCCACCTCGGTCCCTCGCCGGTGTTTGCCGGGTCCCTTAGTTTGCTGTTTGGGTTGTCTGGTTTGGGATGTGCAGGCAATATTTTAGGGTTGTTCCGAGTCCACAGGCATCCGATTGGGGTATTTGAGTGATAATTGAGTCCAGACGAGAACGTTTTGATTGGAAACGGTCACCTCTGTAGCTTACTCTGAGCAAGTAGAATTGACTCTAATTCAGATATTGGTTCTATGATAATGTAAGGTAGAAGTATCATTGAGCTTTCTTCAGCATGCAACTGATAACGCCGTCCCTCCCATCGGAACAGACAATTCGCTCCGATTTCGGATGGACGAAAAGTATCACGTCTAATTCTTGAATTTCTGTACTAGAGAAGAAAAGGCCAGTTTTTAACAGGCGGGGCATGTTCTGAAACGGTTCGTTCGATTTTGTTTGGAAAAAACGAACTTTTGACACGATTGCTTCGTCCTGTCCCTGATGTTAATGTACGCCAACTTGCAATATTTACGTATTAGCACCATTTGTTCAGAATGTGACAGACGTTGCGAAACAGTTGTAGTGTCTATTAGCGTTTACTCACTTGATTACGTCCCAGTAAAGCATTATTACATAGCTCTCACGATAGTTTGTAGGTAGAAGTGCTCTTGTCTATTAGTTTGTTGTCTCTATGTATAATTATACCAGACGTCAAACACCGATACCGAATTGCGACGTTGCCCTGCGCTATGATTGCGACATGTCGCTATTCACTTTGTTGTGGGGACTGGGATCACCTCGATGTTGAGGCAGTCCCTGCATAGCTTTCCTCGATGTTGAGGCAGTTCTTGCATAGCTTTCCTCGATTTAACCGGTTTCACGCTGGGTGGACCGCCTGATCCTAACTGCCAGCGTGCGGCGCTTTTATCTTCGAGGTAGTGACCAAGGCCAGTTTTGTTTTCTGTGCACTATCCTTGTGCTCTTGGTGGTGCTGGTGAGACGCGTTGGTGTACCCAGTGTGTGACGTGTGTTCTCTACATTCCGTGTGCTGTTCGCCAATACACGGCCAAGGGAACGGGTCATTGATGTGTTCCTGCTGGGTGTGGGAAGCAGACGAAATAGCGACGTGTTGCGGCTATACGGTCTTCATTGGTCACGCAGTCGCAAAAACGTTCGGAGACAAGTGAGAGAACTCACCCTAGAACCACGCCATCCGCAGTCTGGAATATCGCACAGCTGTTGCTGGTTTTTACGGTTATCCCAGAGCCGACACCGGCTGATAATTCGAATGGCGGTGCTGTAAAGATGCCTTGCAACCCCTAAATCTCACCCCCTCCCCACCGTGCCGCGAGTTCCCTCCACACAAATAGACTCCACTGTCCGCTCGAGCCCCGTGTATTGCCACACTGTGTCCGACAATCACAGTTAACTCGTTCGGATCGGGCCGGCGACGTCCTAATCCTCCAGGGCCAGACGCACCTTCTTCCACGTCTTCAGAGGTCCGTGCTCACGCAGGTACTGCACGTTCACGCCGTCGTTACGCAGGCGGTGGTTGGCGCGGAGCTCCTCGTACTCGTCGCGGTTGAACTTTGTGAAGCCCCACTTGCGAGAGGTGAACAGCTGACGGAGAGGGAAAGGGCGACGAGTTAGCCATGGGGCATGCTCAGTATAAGAAACCGAGGAAGTGACTGGTTAGGAGTAATCATTAGACTTCATCTGTCGGGGCTTGACGGGGCGGCACGGAGAAGTGAGGTCCGCGCCGCACGGTATTGGCCCGTTCGTTACTGTTCCTGCGTTCGCCTGAGCCCGCCGCCAGGGAGCAGCGGCGAGCCCAAATATAGCAGGTTGTAGAACCGACGCAACGAGAATTGTTCCGTAACTACGCTGACCCTACTTTCAAGCTATAATGACCCCTTATGAAAAAAAAACTGATGAATGGTGCCTGATGAACGGCCCGCGTAAATATACAGAAATATCGACTTGTATGACATAATTATCGCAAAAATCGATGTAGGAAAAAAAAATCGGCAAAACGAACAAAAATATCCCTGAGTAATCAAGAAAATGCTGAGAGAACAGTCGCCATTGCTGGTTCTGGTGGTAAGACTGGAAGAGCAAACTTGCCGGCCAATCGAATGACAGAACCGTACGGCAGAGCCACAATACCAGACAAACAATAGCTCTATTATAGAATCTCCAGCCAGCATAGTCTGGGGAGCCCGCAATTCAATCAGTCCGCCATCTCTCACCTTCTGGCGTCCGGGGAACTTGAACTTGGCACGGCGCAGTGCCTCGATCACGTGCGACTCGAACTTGTCGTAGGTGCGGATCGAGATGATGGGCTGGCCGATCTTGACGCGCGCCACCAGGCCCTGAGGCTTGCCGAACGCGCCGCGCATTCCCGTCTGGAGCCTGAGAGTGAGGAAAAGGTGGTTAGCGAAACTCTTAGTACGACTGTTGTGCGTTATAGACGCACTGACCTGGGGGAGAGATAACGCGAGACGGGTAGGCGTTCAGCATACAAGTGTCGTAGGTTGACGGGGCTGGACGGACATGGTACGTCCGTACAGCACGGTATTTTCCAACAGTAATGTTCCTGTTTTCGCCAGAGGATGGCCCGACGAGATAGGGCCATACCCAAATATAAACAGGTACGACGCTCGCTTCATATAATTGATTAAAACAAAAGATCATTAAATGATTCAATTCTCACCCTTATGTGTAATATGAAATGTTATCAGGCACTGATTAAATGCCTGTATCATAGACGTACAACCACGCATTCCCTTGGTTTGTGTGTACACTGCCACTTAGCAATATACACAAACACCTTCATAATACAATATTAATAATTTAATAGCAGCATGATAATGAGGCGATTATCTACACAAATTACAAATCAGCACGCCGCTAACTGAGCAGTGTAAGCGTCCTAGCGTCGGCTGCCGCGCAATGTCTCGCTCACCTATCAGCTCCTGCGCACGACAACATCTTGTTGATGCGGTTCACGTGGAACGGGTGGGTGCGAATGCGAATATGGAACGCGTCCTTGCCGCAGTTCTTCACCAGGTACTGGGAAATAGAAGGCGAGCGGTCACCGACATTATTGAACGATCAGCGCGGCTTCACACAATAAAATGGCCAAGGGAGGAGAGAGCTCACTTTCACCGCTCCTGAAGGTACACTGGGTTAACGATCTAGTGATCATCTATCAGTGAACGATTTACTGCAATGATATTTGCTTCGTCAGCAGAACTGCAAAGGTAATAGGCGTCAAGCGCCACACATTACTAGAGAATCGCCTTTTACGTTTTGAAACGTACGATTCATGCACGCTAGTGCCTGGTCCATTTGACTCGATGTCACATTCATATCAGGACCATGGTTTTCAAAACATAAAAACGATGTAACAAAAGACAATATAAAGCCAAAAACAAAACACACTTTGAATAGAGCACAGAAGGGCATGATTGAATCCCAGCTTGGTTAATAAAACCCATCATGTGAAAGCAGCACAAGTGACACTAAAACAGGTAACTGTGGGGCACAGCCGTAGGACGGCGACCACGGACGGCCGCTGCGTCCCGAGCCGGCCCAGGAGTTCATGTAGCCATGTGTAACCAGGACGGCGGCAATGGGCCGCAGACCTTTCTCAAAATGGCGTTACGCGTCGACAAAACATGAAATTGATGCTCATTGCTAAATATCACACATTGCTGATGGTACTTTTTCAGTTTCACGATCAGAATATTGAATCACGAAGAATAAACTGTACAACAATGTTCAGATGTTCAGCATTTATGTTATCAGTTAGCAGCACCCATCATTGGCATCTGCACCCAACGGTAAACCCCTCGACGCACCAACCACTTAGGCAAACAGCTGCTTACCTTGTTGGCGCAGATGCGGGCTGCCTCCAGCGCCTCAGCACTCAGCTGCTCAATCTCGTCCGAGACCATGTGCACGCAGCAGGGGAAATCCTCCACGGAGGCCTTCTTGCGGCCCAGGTCATAGATGCGGATCTTGGGGTCCGGCACACCGCGGCAGAACCGCGACTTGGGGTACGGCTTGTTCTTGCAGTACCGATAACTGGGGACGAAAGATGCGTAAAAAGTTAGGTCCTGATGAGCATGGATGTTTATCAAGACATTTTCCGGATTGTAAATGTGCATGCATGGAAACTTAGCTACTGACGAACGCGGACGTTAAGACATTTTTTCTCGGATTGCGAAATGTGCTAATTACGAATGTCGGGGCTTGACGGGGCGGCGCGGAGAAGCGGTCCGCGCCGCACGGAATTGGCCCGTTCGTTACTGTTCCTGCGTTCGCCTGAGCCCGCCGCCAGAGAGCAGCGGCGAGCCCAAATATAGCAGGTTGGAAATCCTTAGACCATTTTTGGTACTTAGATTTTTAAACTTGTTCAAGCATCGAGATTTTCAAGATTTTCATTTCAAAAACCTTAACAAAAGTGCAATAAAGGACACCATTTTTAAATGGGAGAACAGCAAGAATGTTTGATTCCTAAGATATGTGAAAGATATTCCCCAATTCAACATTAGGAAAAGTAGTGATGCAATAGCATCATCACATTTATTTACATTTAGACAACTGATGTATGGCCCCAACAAGCTGAATGAAAATGAGTTTTTACTCATCCTTTAACATGGATTTTGCATATTTGGAGATTGCAACACCAATTGTGGCACATTTTAACATTATTACTAATTCTTGCAGCTTGTAGTTTATAACGGTAGTTTCTTAGCAGACGTTGCCCTTGCTGCCATATTTCCGTCTCACGTGCGCCGCAATTGTCTTTAAACAGTTAAATAAATAACAAAACAATCTAACCTGACCTAACCCTACCTACAACTTACCACCTACCCTTCTAGATATGGCAGCAGGGGCGACGTCTGCTAAGAGAATACCTTTAGGATTACAGGCCATTATTCTTTTAACCCGCGCCCCAGTGGCGGTCTCAGCCATCTTCGCCCTAGTGGGGGGGGGGGGGGGCATATGTTACCACCCACCTCTAACTCAAAAACTAAGAGGGCTAGAAAGACGCGGTAAAAAGCAGTCGATAGCTCTCAATGCGTACGTTTGAAGGTATTTCGGTCATTTTTCACCTTAGAGCAATATTGGGGTCACCAGAGGTCATCAAAGGTCAAAATTTGCCAATTGTCATTATATTTTTCAGAAAACATGCCGCTATCTCAGGAACTATGGTAGCTAGAAAAACGCATGAAAGAGCAATTGATAGCTTTAGAACTCTTCTTTTGAAAAGGTCATAATCAATATTGACCTCAGGTCAACGGTTTAGCCTCCAGAGGGCAAAAACTCCAAAAATAGCTGTTTTTACGAAAAGTGTTTTTCGACAATAATTTTCGACTTCAAAAAGCCACGACATTTCTATTGCCAGAATCGTGTTCCCCTCGCCGAGACGCGTCGAATGAACTATAATTTGACATTGAAAGGTCAACTTGAAAAGCTGACCTCAGGTCAAGGTCATGACCTGACCGGAAAAGGTCATGTTGCATATCAGTCGATGCGTCTCAACGAGACAAACACAATGAGACCATCCCTAGCGTTCTATCTCTTTCCAATCGCGAGTTATTGGCAAAAAACTGTTTGTAGCCTCAAATGACCTCGGATGACCTTTCTAGAGGCTATCAGCAAAAATGACACCTTGGTCATCACGAGTGGACTAAATCATTGTGATTCTGAAATATTTGGACTGTTCCTATGTGTACACACGGATCTAGAGGCATTTTCATTTTTCTCCATTGACTTGTAATGGAAAGGTCACGCCACTGACCTGACCTTAGGTCACGGATATAAAAAATCCGAGATATACAAATTGTAGGCGTCCATAACAGCATGCAATCCACGAAGTTTAAAACCTTTCTGACAAACACTGCAGGCTGGACATGATTGCAAACTTTTTTAGGCTTGGTCAGTTAACTTGACCTGGTGACCTGACCTGACATGACCTGGGGTCAAAAATTTCACACATTGTCCAAAATTGAAGTACCAATAGCTACCCCAAGCGTCGCGGCACGTAGCGCCACGTTTTTTTTATTCACATGCAAAAAACGCAACAGGGTGGTAACATATGCCCTCCCCCACTAGGGCGAAGGTTCATCAGTATTATACATTTTTTTGGAAATTCAGTGATGCCCATCCCTGCAAGCCATGACAGCACCAGCCCTGAAAGGCCAGCCCCACAGGCCAGCAAGTTAACCTGCGCACCTGACCAGCAGTCACTAATCTCACTGCACCTGTGTCGCGTGCACAGCAAATGCAAAGGTATGGAAGGCCAGCATCAAGTAGGCATTTTGTATGCAAAAGGTTGAATGTAGAATAGGTGTGAAAGCAGTTTTTGTTTTTACTTGCGGATGCATGCCAATAATGAAGCATATGTGACATTTGCGCCGCAAAGAATCGTGCCTTTAAAACGCAGTTCACACTTGACCGTCAGTCTGTCGGTGTCGGGCCCGTCACCGTCGACCTGACGGCCTGCAGCCCGTCGAACGAAAGTTGAGATTTGGTAGCTCCCATTGGCTGCCATATATTGTGACAGAAATGGCGCACCATTTTCGAGATTGACGCAGATGGGGGAAGGGGATGGGGGAGGGCAGAGGCCGAGAGGCAAAAAATATTCTTTGAATTACAGAGATTAAATACCACGCATTTACATTTTTATGTCAAATATTGCTGCAAATTTATTTAAATGAAAGACACATAGGTTTGCTGATTTAAATCAGGGATCGAATCTCAAGATATCGTGCTGTAATAAACACTTTCATCTCAACAAATGGATGGAAAATGGTATAAATGCTCTTAAAAATGCATATAAGCTTGATGCTGCATGAGAACGTTCCTTTTCCTCTTCCTCCAACACGCAGACATTCAAACCGACGGGCCCGTCACCGTCAAAAGTTGAACATTGCTGAACTTTCCAAAGCGACGGCCGTCAGGTCCGGCGCCGGCGCAGTCAGCTGTTGCCGGCCGTCGAACGCCGCCGGTTCACACATGCCCGTCGACCTGACGGCCGTCGCTCCGTCAGTTTCGGCCGTTTTGACGGTGTCGGGCCCGTCACCGGCAGACCTTACGGGCAAGTGTGAACTGCGTTTCAGATCATTCAGCATTGGTTAGAATAGCCCCAGAGCCTCCTAAGCAATAATTATCACTGCCAACTTAAAAGTGCAAAGCCTAGGCCATTGTTTGTTCAACACTAAGCCAATGAAATTGCTAAGAACATCAGCGAGCGATGCTTACCATCTTGCTGGTCGCCTCCCCATTTTGCCTGAAACAAAGAAAAGGTTTAGAACAAACACAACCGATTGAAGGAATGAAATACAACTATTCAGAAACACAAAAACCGCCAAATACTTGAATCAGAGTAGTAAATTCAGTGAGTTCACTTTCACACACCCTCTTTAGATCCCACAGGATCCGAAAAGGAAGTTTGGCGATATTGGCGGTCTTGCCAGCGCTGCCTGAATATATAAGTTATTTTCTTGTGTTTCATGAGAAATGATTTGCCATGTTTTAAAGAAAAGAAGGAAGAACAAGCAAAATATTTTTTATTGTTTTGTTATTTTGAAATTTTAAGAAATATAACATTACTATCATATTGCTATCTGTTCATTAAAGTGTACATTTTTTATGTTATCAAACACGCAGTCGCTCACATAACGTTGCGCATTGCCTGAATGAATGACGGGAATAAAACATAACTTAACATCGTTTTTTCTAATGTTACATGAAATTCATACCACCTGGCACCTGATAATAAATAGTTAGTTGGACATGTAAGCATAGAATCTGACAAACGAAAACGAGCGCCAAGCTCTAAGCAAGTCTCGAGTCTTCTGGAATGGGTTAGGTAGGCATTCGAAAACTGCAAGTCATGGTGTGTTGTTGTTCAGGTGTCAGTCAGTATTTCTACAAAACACATTTGCGTACACTAATTCTGATAATAGAACTCTTGGCATTAACCCGCGCCGGGCCCGGGGGGGGTGTTTGAACACCCCCCCCCCCCCCTTCCCAGCCAGCAATTTTGCTCCGGGCCCAAGCAGGCTCAAGTGCGGATTGCCCGAGATTTTTAGTCGGGCTAAAGTCGGCTAGGGCTTGGGCTAAAGTCGGCGTATGACACAAAAACGCCGACTAAAGCCCATGCTCTGCCGGAGGTATGCCCGCTCTGCGAGCTCCGGACAGCCGTAGTTTAGCCCTAGTTGAGCGACGATTGGCGTTAGCCCGATTAAAGCCCGAGCCGTGAATCCATTTATATAATGGAGATTACTCTGGGCCCGAGCGGGCTGAACTCCGGCAAGCCCACTCTGTGTGCCCTGTCTATCCCGACTTAACCCGCGACCTGGTGGGGGGGGGGCTATTTTTTGCCCCCCCTCCAGACTTTTCGATATATCTCCAGAACCACTGCGCCGATCGTCACCAAACTTTCAGTACCCTCCCGGACATCAATTTTACACATTGTGACCAAAAATTTTTCCAAAGGCTATGATAGGTTGGCCGGAAATGACGTCAGAGTGACGTCATGTTCTGCCGTTTTCGACCCAAAAAAGGGTTTCGCGGGAAGAGCTGTCAGGCCTATAGCTTTGCAAATACAGAAAAATGATACAAACATAAAAGCTGTAGAATGGACAGGGCTACAAAACTGCTATCTCGGATTTTTGAAATTTTTGGATTTTGACCCCCAAAAATCAAAAAATAGATTTTTTGAATATAATAGCCAAAAAATCCAAAAAGTTTTTTGAATTTCGAAAAAACCGGAATATATGTGATAGTCCTTACCGCCTTCTATCTACATACCAAATTTGAGATCGATACCTCTTTTTTTGACCAAGTTATAGCGAAAAAACTGTTCAAAATTGATGACGTCAAATTTTCAAACTCAATTTTTAGCAATTCTAGACCTCGTAGCGCAAAACAAAGACCACCATTAGACTCCCCGTGACGAGCTGCATCGAATCAATACCCATTTTATGCAAAAATATCAACTTTGAAATTTGACCTTTTTTGACCTGACCTTGACCTGACCTCCACCAGAAAGTGACCTAAACCGTACCTGATGGTCTTATAACCAACACCATTGAGTTGGAAATGAAAAACTGGCCATAAAACATGCATCGCATAACCTTAGTAAAGTTGGGTTCATGTGGTGACCCTTGGTGACCTTTGGTGACCTGACCTGTGACCTGACCTGGTATGACCAGTGACCTCTAACAGCAACATATCTACTAGGCAAATGACGCCCTATCGCTGATTCCCGACAAAATGCGTTTTCCTCGGTGTTATAGCGCATTCCCTAGAAGACCCGTGAACGGTGAAACATTTCATCTTTGACCTTACCTGTGACGTCATCGGTGACCCCGAGGTCAATAAAATTTGGTTTACCCCGACAAATTTGACAGGCCTTTCGAACGCCGTTTGAATTTTTCGGATCCGTCCAGTAGTTTCGGAGATACGAGGGGGGGCAAAAAATAGCCCCCCCCCCACCAGGTCGCGTTATAAACAGACCCCACCAGGGCGCGGGTTAAGCCATAGAAGTGAATGGGGTTTATACATTGCAAACTGCTGTGGCTTTGCTCGGGTTCGGCTCGAGTGACGGCTCCTGTTTTCTCAAGTCTCGACTTGACTTCATCTTGCTTTTGCTTCACACTGGATCAAGTAGCAAGGAGCAGCCAATGCACTTTCAGCAGGTTGTGCGGTTTCAATGCATATTTAAAATTGTTACGGTCACTCATATGCTCTGTTAACCCTATTAGTGGCAGGGAGGGGGGTTGTTTTCATCCACCCCTCAGGTTTTTCGGGAATATCTCCGAAACCGCTGAAGCTACGATGCTGAAATTTTCTGACTTTTCCTAAAACTAAATTGGGCACATTCCCTGAAAATTTCAAGTTCATAACTTTACCAAGGGCGGCTCCAGAGCACTGGGAATTGGGGGGTCCTATTCGTGAAGCGAGTCATTTGGGCGATGATCACGATGCTGATGTATTATAACTGTATGCACCAGTTTTATCATGTGATAACATATACAAAGTTATTGTGCATCCTCTTTTGACACGTTTTTGCTATAATAGGCGGATCCAGGCGTCCAAAAAGGGGGGTTATGTTTTACCTCCCAACATAGGTGCCCTGACACCGCCTATGCATGACCAATACAATTGTAGTCGTTCTCTCATAAGAAAATTGTAACATAACAAGACCATTACCACCCTTTTTAGAAACAGTACCAACAAAAACCTTATTTGCTATACTTTTTGTGTACGCCCAATCTCAATGATCTGTATCCGCCTATGATTTTTGAAAATGCATATTTTTAGGATCCATGTGAATTCCTGGTTCATTCTTTATCGATCGGCAAAAGTTGCGTTAAGATTGGTTCAGAAACCTGGCCGTGATAAGCAGTCTAAAATGTATCTACAATTTGCCCGTTTTTACCCCCCTCAACCCCCCTTTTGACATTTTCTTAATTTTTTTTTAGAAATGTAGATCACGTTGAGCGAAGTCGAATGCCGTTTGAATTTTGAAAATCGGCCCGTTAGATCTCGAGATATCAAGGGGGGGTCGTAAACAGCCCCCCCCCCTGCCACTAATAGGGGTAGCCAGGAGCCTGCCACTAATAGGGTTAAGCGGTCATCGAGCATTGCGAAAGGAAAGTAGTGGTTGACTTTGATTGAATGTATATTTCAAACGACTATCAGACACTCAAATGAAACACAAATACATGAAACAGTGGACTGCAAACTGCAGCAATAATATGGCATGAGTCATGAAAAAGCGCCATCAAAACTATAAAACAATCAAAGGCCCGCTAGCCTCCCTCCCCGTTCATAATACTTGGTTGAACACTCAACCGAAAGCATAAAGTAAGGACAGCAAGTAATCGCTCATAAGACATAAAGCAATTAGCAAACAATCGTTTATAAGGAACTTCACTCTGGTGAATGGGAGCTTTGGAAGCGTCTGACTCCTCCACACACACACACATCTGCAGTAGGTGGTCGGACAGCTTTCGGTGCAGTTTCCGTATATGTAGGTATACCTACTTAATTATAAGCAGGCATTTTCCGCTAAACCACTTGGTGAGGGCGACTGCGGCGTCCACCCGGTCCTGGTTTATATAACTATTCCATTTTTTTGGAACCATTTGCTCTAATGGTACGTACCTGAAAAAGAGATTAATTGGTTTAATTTACATTGCATGTTTGCTTGAAAAAAAAACTTATTGTTGCATTAATGCTGTAACAGCACTTCTCATTGATCCGTATAAAATGTTCATTCGATTTTCAACGCGGACAGAGAATGAGCGTGCTCGGTGATAAGTAGATAAATATTTGTGTTTTGTTTTTCATTTTCCTGGTTCAGCAGTGCTGGTATTTCACAAAGATATAAAGGCACGGAATGCGGCTTTTCTGAGCGAGGGTATAAGTCGCCAGGCTGAACAGCTATTCAGCTTCATGTTTGATGGCGTGAAACTCAGTCAAAATCATGACGTTTACATACGATCAAGCGCACCATTCAATACACTTACCTACCGTAAAACTCCATGCCAGTCCACTTGATAAGAGCAGTGAGCACTAGTGATGTCAATTTCAGAAAACATATGTCCAATGTCCGTCCAATGTCCAATACTTACGTCGACTGTCCGTCCAAAAATGTCCAAGCCAGCCATTTGTCCAAAGATGTCCGACATCTACGCAATAGTTTACACTCAACACCGTTAATTAATTTGCTTTTAATGTATCGTTACCAGCTCAAAAGTGGTAATCATATCGAAAGCTGAGCTTTCTAATAGCCAATCAATGTTAAACACGATTACTTTATAAAAATATTTAGGTGTAGCAAGCGATTGTCCAAAGTTGTCCAAAGTCTGCTGTCATTGTCCAACCGAATTCCGAATTGGACATTGGACAAAATCGGAATTTCGAAGATTCAAGTTCCGATTGACACCACTAGTGAGCACTATCCCTTCTTCGCGCTGTCACACGCGCCCAAACATCAACCACCAAATGCCCCAACACCGGTGTGTCGTTTCGTCGCACAGCGCGCAGACTGACACAAACGCTGCACACGATTGGCGCAGAACTGCGCATGCGCGAACAGCCGAACAAGTATGGCTAAGCTCCGGCTTTAATCCAATTAGCCGAAGGACACAGCCATCTTGATCAGCCCGCGCTCCGCCCAAGTTAAGCCTGTTTTGGATGCGCGGGCAGATGTCGGGCTGAGCTACTGCTATCCGCACGTGGGCATAGCTGCGGCATGCCCCAGCTCAGCCCTAGTAAAAAATACATTGGTTTTGATCAAAGTGGGCAAACCCAAGCTAAGCCCAAGCTGCCCGACGTTTGCCACAGTTCAGCCCAAGCGAATTGCTGGCTGGGTTGCGGTTTTTCGCAGATATCTCAAAAACGGCGGCGCGGCACACCTGTTGGTGCATCTTTTCCGCACATGTTGTGAAAATTTCAGACCCAGGTCACCTTAGGTCAGGTCACCAGGTCACGCCAAGTGACCTCACCTCAGAAAAAATAAGAATGCTCGTCATAGCTACACCGACTGAACGATTGCCTTGAAACTTCAGCGATTGATAAGAGCAACACTATCTATAAAATGTATATCTCGGAATTTTGA